TGTAAGGTGCCTTTGGGAGGTCAGAAAAACTGCCAAAATGTCCACCAATGTCTCATGGATGCTCTACCTGTTTCCTGAAACAAGAGTGAAAGCCCAAGCAAGGCAAGTTCTTCAAACGGTGATTCCTCCCTGTCGCTGGCTCCGGCTGCCGAGAGCATGCAGACCCAAAAGATGGTTTGGCAGGTTGTGTTGGCAGGCTGTGACAACTTCCTGCAATGTGGGGTTGGCAAGCAAGTTTTCCCACATTGCACCACAAACAAAGGGCTAGATTGGCTACAGCTGGAGAGGGCACTAGGAAGCCTGGCTTGACTCGAGTCTGCATAAGGCACTGCAGATGCCTGAGCACTGGTGTGAGACCTTGGTTCAGAAATTCTAAACTTAGGACATTCAAGCCAGGCCTTGCAAACACTGAGCTAGTGAGCTAGAGTTCCAGTGACCCTGGGTTTACATTGCAGTATAGACACACCCTAAGAGGCAGTCAGCCAAACATCAACATGTGTGTGTTGGGACTGCAAAGCAAGGACTTGTTTCCATAGCTGTGCATGTATCTATTTGCCTTTTCTTTTATCCCAGATTTCTCCTGTTGAAGACTGATTCCTTCATGAGTTTGAATCAGTTTCAGTTAGTGATGTGACTATGCTGGTTGCATCATTTCTTCAATGTAGGAGGTGTCATGTTCCAAAAATGGGTATAATGGAAATATCACTTCCTTTTGTGCGAGTCCTGGGATAGGGTTAAAATGGGAATATTGTGGTAAATAGAGGCCATGCCACTGCACTTCAGATTTTGAATGAGCAGAAGCAGTGGAAATTACTTTCTAAACCAGGCCACCTGTAACACAGAGTTCTTGAAATTTTATGCTGTAGCTGTTGTGGGAGGGGGGAAAAAACACGATTGGCCTTCACTGAAGTGTTTACAAAGTATCTGCCATCTGGAACAGTTCCAAAAGGTAGTCAGTTGGTCTGTCTCTTTTGGGATGTGGAGTGTTTCTTGCTCTGAAGAGTTTTCTGTTAGTTTATCAGATATGAACTGGATTAGCAGTCTCTGGGATCTGTGATCCATGACAAATGTAGGTGAAACAGCAAACACAAGGCCTTCTGTTTGGGTTTTGACCAAATCCACTTACTAATTGGCAGTCTTTGGGGAGCTTTGGGGTATGAACTATGATTTAGTACCTATATCCCTCTTGGTTACCAAAACCCTTATCAGGAAACATCAGGTCTTCTATTTGGTGGAGATTTTCATCATTTCATCAAGATTCTGCCATCATTTTAACAACTGATTGGTAGGCTCTGAGTTCCTGAGTCCTCAGATTCTACACTGGTTTCATTGATCTACTAACCTATTAAGTGTCTATATTGATTCTTTTAGAACTGTCAGCAGACTTTGATGCCACTGACCGTGAAAACTGTCTTTTTTGTGGATAGAGATTGGTGGAGTTGAATTTGGATGAGTCCATACCTTCCTTTAGAACAGGACCTTGAATTAGTTACTGTATGACTCCTTATATAGTAAGTAGGACTAGAGGCTTCTATTCTGTCACCACTCTTTCAACAGAGAGATGGTAAAGTGAGTCGGACTGTAGAGCCACTCATATGTGATGATATTGCTCTCTGTTTCATCTGATCTAAATAATGTGGTTGCTCAACTTTCCTAGTATCAAACAGGTGTAGGGGCTGGAACAAAAACACAGATAAAAGTCTAGTGGAAAAAAACACAGGAAATTGTGGAAGTGATAGCTACCAACTCAGGGAACAATCCTGCTGATTGTTTCTATAGTTTGCAACCTAGGGGACCTGTTGGCTCTTCAGCTGCTTCCGGTAGTCCAGATTGCAGCATTAGCCAGGAACATTTATTTACACCAGCACTTATATAGCAGGTTTGAAAGCACTCTTATCTGATATGCTGAGCACAGTCCTCCATGCAATTTGTTACCTCAGATCAGTTGTCTGTACTGCACTCTACTATACCTGGGGCAACACTGAGAAGAACCCTTAGAAATTTCAGAAAGTGCAGAATATGGCCATCTATTTAATTGTAGGGTTTTTCACAAATGGAAATTCTTTCACTTGTGCTGTAAAGTCTGCCCTACCCTACAATTAATATCTACTTTCAAGTCAAATTGTGGTTTTGATACATAAACTGCTTTATAATTTGGAGCCTGGATTAACTTAGTGTGGATGTGGTTCACAGTTCATGTTTGGAATCTGACAGTCCCAGTATTTTTATGCGTTGGGGCTTCATCTCTGAAATCACTTCTCCAAATTGAACCTGTTGTCCTTTTTTGTCATTTTGCAGTGCCTGTTCATTTATTGCTTTTTCTGAGGAGGTGAATCAAAGTGTAATAGATTTCAATAGTAATAGGAAGTGTTGTGAATATTAGTCATAATAGGTACCACTAAGTACTTGCTATAATATTAAATATGTGGTAAAAAGGTTTTATCAGCATGAGTTTGGTAGGGCTGTGTTACTTATTAAATCCATGAATGTGTTATGCAGGGTATCTAAAATGATAGCCAGCAAAATCTTTATGCCAGATCAATATGTATTTTATAGATCCCACTTATTTTACAAAAATTTGGAAATATTTTTAAGTTTTAAAATATGTATTGGATTTTGTTTTTCATTTCTGTCCTAAAACTTGGCAATGACCATGAGACCAGCTGCTCAGGAAATTACCAGGAATAGAAGCAAGTGCCTTATAGCATTGAAAAATCAGTGGTCACTTATTTACAATTATGTAAAGTTTTCCATGCTATCCCTGAAGCGTCCGAAGATATTAAATCTTAAACCTGCCACAGGTTAGAACTGACTATACATATCCCACGCAATGTTCTTTGGGCTATAAAATTCACATTTTGGAAGGGGAAAAATGGGAAAAAAACTCAAAGGCTCTTTAAAACAAATGTGTCTGAAGCTCATCAGAGGTAAGAACTATCAGAATTCTACATCCCAGAGATGACAGCTTAGTGGGCCAAAGGGCAGATGCAGCAGTCAAAAGTGTATGGTAAACCCAGCTTTTCACAAGATATCACCATCACGTCTATAGAGTGCATATATATAACTATGAATAAATGCATACATACAAATATATATACAATCTCTCAGGTTCAGGATTTTCAATAATTGTATTTTGCTTTATTTTAGATATTTATGTGTAAACACTGAAGCTCATTTTTTAAATAGGAATTGGACTAATTTTTTAAGCAAGCTCTGAAAGTGGTGATATTATATAAAGCATTCATTCATTGTTTAAATTGTATGTTTCCTTGTGTTGAGATACTGCTATTTAAAGCCTATATCATGCTGATATCATATAGACTGTGTTTTTCTTTTAAAATTCCAGAATAGTGGTTTTGTTAAAGAACCACCTACACATTACCTGTGAATTGATTGTGAACTTGTTATGCACAGAAACATTCTTGTTGAATGTAGCTAATTTATATCTAGAGACATTCTGTAAATTTCTAAACAAAAACCAACCAAACTAAAAGAAATTTGACCAAAGCACTGTAAACATTTCTTGGAATAATGTATCAATTTAGAAAGAAACAATAAATAACAAGAATCTGAAGAATGGAAATCTCATAGAAGTAAACAATAGTCCTTTCAGTGTGTGTGAACAGATTCTGTTTGTGTGGAGATCCAAGTTTTAAATGTTGTTTCCGTCAGTAGCATAATCCTTTTAAGAAATAAAAAAACTAAAAATCTTTTAAGTCTTTTTATATTATTACAAAGCACATTTGAAGTGCATTGACAATATTTTGATAATAGGTGAAAATGCATAAAAGCATAACCTGTGCATATGCCTGGTTACTACTTGACTAAACTATTGAAAAGCATGAATTCAATTCCTCATTCCATAAATAATAAAGTAGTTATAAAACTAATGTTGACAGATAGTGCAGGTGTATCTTTCCTACTTTCTTGTTATGCTATAGATAAATACTGTAGCAAGAAAATATAGACGTTTGTTGATATGAACACCAGCTTTACAGAGTGAGAGGTAAACACTGGCTTAATTAAGTTAGGTCAGTATTTATTTCAAGAGACAAAAAATTTTGACCATAATAAACATGAAATCAGTATACTGTGTGTATTGTTACATATAGGATCAACATTTGATCAAACATTTGGAAATCTTTACTTTATGGTGATACTTTCTCAATGTATAATTTTTTTCTTTTAAATTAACATTCAGTACTGATGAAACCAAAAATTTAAAAACACAAGCTATTTATTTCCTCTGATGTATTTATTAAGGTCCGAAGGAATGTCAGCCAGTCAGATTGCCATTCAGAGTTTCTCCGAAGAAAAATATTTTATGCATCAACTACTGCTGAAAGAGAAACATACAGTTATGAAAAATAGTCACAAAATGACCACTATTTCTAAAGATATTCTTCATATATAGACTATGCATGAGATTTCAATGAGTTTTAACTATATAAGAAGTTAAAGACTCCATTATTAAGATCATTCAAGGCAATAGAAAGGTGTGAGATAGAATGCTAAATTTCTTAATGGAAAAAATTAATTAATTTTTACCGTCAATTTTTCAGAAAAAATCTCTAAAGTCAGAGAATGTGTTTTAATTTTGGGGAGGATATCCTGCATTCAGATATAACAAAGAGGTTGAATTCTTACTTTAAGTGGAAAACTCAACTTATCCCTAACCATAGAGCTGTGACTGGCACCTCCATAATTAACTGTTTGACACTGCTTCAGACTTTTGCATTCATTTCTGTGGAGGTAAATAATAGAAACTTGCTGACTCATCACAAGACTGCTTTTAGCCAGCCATGATTTTCACACTGTATGTAACAATACTTTCGATTTTTTTGCAAGTTTTGGTTGAACCCGATTAACATTGCATTAGGTCATCTTGTATGAATGAAAATTTAAAATATTCATCTGTTTAGCATGGTATAATTTGAATATACTGTACACTTCAAAAATTCTATTCAATTGAGTGGACTCTCTGTTGCCCCCTTTTTCAGATGACGGTTGCTGCTGGTACGAGCATTGAGAATAACATTCAAAGGACCATATCCTGCCCTAATGTATGTTCCACATATCTTGGATTTGTGTGTAATTTCAATGCAAAACCTCATTACATGAATTTGATATTTTGCCTTCCACAAGAATCTCATGTATCTCAGGGTTACCACATATTATACTACAAGTGGAGGTTTCAGCCTATCAAAATGATGAATTCCTGTCATTTTTTCCTGTATGATTTGACAGCTCAGCTAAATAAAGACTAGGATGATATATTCACAGCTCCTTCCAAGTTTACCTTGCTTCTCTCCCATCTGAATATTCCTGTCAGATGAAATCAGTAAAATAGCAATTAGCAAAATGAGAAAAGTAAGATGAGGGCACTTTTATTCTATTTTACATTGTACTGTATTGGACTTCAAAAATATCTCATACTAAATTTGGAAGGAAACTTTATTTTCTCTGTATTGTGTGACTTAAAATGAAGGTGAGGGAGGAGTCACTATTGATGGAAGGATAGAATAAGAAACCTATGTTTTTGTTAAAAAGAAACTATTGATTCACTTGTAGTATAATAGCTAATTTATCTTTTGCAAAAAGCCTGTTCTATAAGTGGGAACTCAGTGGCCCAAAGTCTGTCCTCTGATATGCAGAACATTAGTGGGAATTCAGCACATACTCTAAGGGCAGACTTTGGCTCTGGGTCCTACATTATGTCTTGAATACCTTGTATATTGAGCATTACTTTCTCTTGATAAAGATCACATTTTTTGTGGGGGAGGAGGCTATTGATCCTGAAATTCAAGACTTATTATTGCATAAAATGTAATCCAGGTAAGTATGATCGAGTTAGACCATACTGATAATTAAGCATCAAATGATTATTATTATTACTATTTTTGATATTGTCAAGATGAAACAGCACGGGGATACTGAACCATTCCCATCTCTCAAAAAACAAACAAACACAAACCCAAAACCTAGTTTACTGCAGAAACTTTCCATTTTTCAAGGAGCATAGAAGTTTCCAATTTTCTGTAATGGATGAAACTGATTGGTATCCTGCTTCTAGCTATTTGGATGGATCACAAGTATGTATTTCTGGGCATCTATTTCAATGGGCCAGTGAAAACACTGCTTGATTAAGAACTGCTCTCTTGAATTCTAGTTACAGTTTTATCTGATGAGGCTAAAGACCATTTCAGGGTATGAAATATCCATGTAGAGGTTAGTCAGGAGGAATGGGAGAAGATGCCATGGATATACAATGCAAGATTGATTTCCAAATGGGGGATCCTCTCTCCATAACCAACCTGACTTTAACTCCTTCAAGACAAGATCAGTCTGCTGATTTGAAGAGGTAATCACTTTCCCATCATTCAGATGTCATCTATAGATAAATCTTGAATTAGAGGACTTGAACCACAGGCTTGGCAGTGTACAGTAATGTTTCAAACTCATACATAAAGACTAGTACTATCACTTCAAAGAAGCATAGGAAGGGTAATTTAAACATTAAAAATAATTGATAAAGAGGTCTTTAAAACTTAGGAGGACTTAAAGTATACTTCCTCCAGAAAGAAGTCAAAGATACAGGCCATCCTACAGCAACCTTGTACTCTTTGGGTGAAATCCTGCACTAATGAAAGCAATGGGAGTTCTTTTATTGTCTTCAGTGGGTTTAGAATCCTCAAGAAAGGATGAGAGGCCTCAATGATAAGCCAAAATCACAAATTCACCCCACTCCTCATTTTCTGTCTTCTCTGACAGCAAATTTTTCTCCTCCAAAAAGAAACAAAAAGGAAGTTTATGAATCCTCAGAAGACACTGAGGTTCAAACATAAGAATTGTATATACCCAAATATTTAAGGAATTGGAATATTCTCATAACTCAGTGAATAAGAAGAATTTTAGTGACTATTTCCCAAAGGTGAAATAGAGGACAAAGTATTTCTTATCACAATAACACTAATAAATCTTACAACAGGGTTGGAAGACTCTGGGCTTTAATAATCGCTTCTGAAGTCTCTTCACAAGTTAGAAAGAATTCCCAAGTCTAGTTTTCAAGAAAGAGAGCTAGTGCCCATTGTGGATTCCATCTTTATTGTAAACCTATAAAAAAGTCTTTCATATTGAAAGTTAATGTTTAGAACACAGATCCCATGGATAGAAAATAATCACACATGCACTCTCACAAGGTATAAAACTTCCAGCTTACGTTCTTAATGTGATGATTCACTCATGCCTTACTTCTGGACTCACTGTAAAGTGGCTTTAAGATCTAATTTTAGATTCTGACTATAGAAAGAAGTACAGTAAATCCAAAATTCCTGTAGACCTAATTGGCTGCTGACTTTCACTCTTTCAGTGCTGATGCAGCTACATATGCTCTTTATGGTCCTATTTAGAATGTCACTTTAATGAGTAGGTGGAAATGCCCTGTGGTTCAAATTCTGGTCAGGTGATTTTGCCTGTAACTTAAATTAAATGGCTCTTCTCTTCAAGGTACCATAAGCTTTTAAAAGATAATTTGGATGCTACCATAAAAGGGATTAATGCAAAGACAGTTGTTCTCTTTGACAGATACCTCAAAATAGGGAAGAAATACCTAATGAAAGAACCCCATATAGGTTCTGTGGTATGACAAGATATACAAATCAAGTCTATTCCAGAATTTCTCCTGCTTGATAGAACCAAGGCAGAGTAACTTCCACATAAGTTTAGAGAAAATTGCTTTTATTTCTAATGGTCTTTTCCCATTAAAACTACCTTTAGGGATCTGACACTCTTCCTGTGTCACAGAATAGGAATAAATCAGCGAAGACAAAATTATTATATTTACACCTCTACTCCTATAGAACGCGACCCGATATAACACGAATTTGGATATAACGCGGTAAAGTAGCGCTTCGGGGGGGCGGGTCTGCGTGCTCCGGTGGATCAAAGCAAGTTTGATATAACACGGTTTTACCTATAACGTGGTTAGATTTTTTGGCTCCCAAGGACAGCGTTATATCAGGGTAAAGGTGTATTATCTCAAATAGTTGCTACTTAGAATGTTGGAAGATTGCTTCTATCTAGACTTAGCAAAATAATATCTCATATCTCAAAAATTGGTAAACATATAATAAATCTTTTAGCGCTTGATCCTGCAAATATATATATATTTGAGCAACGTCAAATATATATATACTTATATATTTGAGCAACGTCAATATATATATAATTATATATTTGAGCAACTTCATTCACATGAACAGTCATACTGAACTCCATGAGGAAAGTTACTGGGGACAAAGGACCAGATACACAGTCATGTCAAGAAATATATTCTATATTTCATAGTTTACTGGAAATCAGGATGGGGTTTTGACCAGTTATTGACTTCAGATAGCTAAAAATTCCTAGAATACAAAATAATCTCACTTCTGTTGACAATTAAGATGCATATCTGCTTATACTATACCTACTGTCTAGCTGAAAGCCATCAATACTTCACTATGTTTGTTGTAGGAAATTGACATTGTCATGATTCACATTACCTTTTGGTCTAGCCTAGCTCCATGATGTATTATAAAAGTGATTCTCCCAGATCCACAGAATTATAAAAGTAAAGTTTCCATCTAATTTCTTATAAAGATAAACTAATAAAAGCTATTTCTTTCTGTATCTGTTCAAGAAGTGAATCTAGTAGTCTCCACTTCATCAAATATAGGTGTTTTAGTGAATTTAGAACTCCCTAACTCCCTCCCTGTAGCTCTGTGATTAGGCACTTAATTTAACACAAAAAGATATCCCTTGTTTCCTAGTCAATAAAGGATAAACTGATCTTTATAATCTGATCTTTCCAAAACTAACGTAAAACTTCATCAGATGATGTTCTTCACCTAAATTATGATATCATGCCTATGGACAAAATTGCACACTCGTCCTCTGATATATATCAGGGCTCAATAGCCTTAGCATCTGGAATTTCTTGGCCCATAAGAAAGATTAAACATCATGCTAACCAATTACTGCCATGATGCCTGGTCACCAAGAACTTGATAAAACTGATATAATCCAAAACTGTCCACATCCACCTAATAATGGCTTTGAGAAATGCATTATCAACATCTGTCCACTATGAAGAGCAGCCATTTACTACAATTGTTTTTGTCCCAGGAAAGAGTCAGTTTTTAATTTGCCTTTTATCTTTAGTTTTTTCTTTAATATTACTATTTATAACAGATCTCATTTTAAATTTTATTTTTAGAAATCCTAATTAATTATCATGTATTAATTGGTTTGTCTTTATCTAGTATTCTGTTAATTTTTCAAAAACAATCTAGCAGGTTAACGAGGCATGACATTCTCTCTATGTGTTAGTCTACCTTTAATTACACATTTGGTCAGTTTCCTCAGACTGAGGTGAGGTTCACTGGTCTGAAATTCTTCTGATCACTTCACGTTCCTTTTCTGGAGATTTGCACTGTGTGAATAATTTTCCAGTCAGGAACAGGTTTTGTTTTTGTTTTTTTCCTCCTTGTTAGTATCTCTGCTATTTCACACTTCCTTGAGAACTCATGGATGAATTTCATCCAGTTCTGATGATTTACTGCACTAAAGATTTTCAGAATTCTTCATAAATTCTTCCAGGGAAGCTTCAGATTTTAGAACTTATATTTAACAAAAAGTCCTGGCATTTCCAAAACAAGCCCACAGATGCACAGATACAAAATAATATTAACCAACACTTAAACGTCTCTAAAGTTTACAAGATCTAGAACAAGGAGGAGGTTTTAACGCTGGCACAAATCTCCCCAAAGAAAGATTAGACCTTTTGTTTTGGAAGGACCTCTTTTGTGATAAGTAGTACTCCTTGGGTCAAGGTAATGTACCAATAATGGCGATTACAAAAGCAGACCCAGCCCCAATTTTGAGTACTTTTTGCAGCTCAATCCAAGCCAAAAACTTTGCACATCTCTGTCCCATACACAGAAGGTTACCTAACAGTTGGTACTTACTTTCTATCAATACCAACCTGAGGTGAATATAAGCTAGAGAAGTGGAAAGTCTGCAA